GCCTAAAGTTTTATTAAAAGGTAACGGGTATTTATAAGAGGTTTATAAGGAGCCTTAACATTTATAAGAGTGTTTAAAGTCTTATAAGAACACTATTGGTGTTAAAAGTTTTGTAACACCTCAAAAAATTATCAAAATACTTGAAGTTTTATAATATTGCATCCAAAATGTTTTCGTTACCTTATTTATAAAACCTTTGGTATTGGTTACTTAAAGTTTTTTAAAAGGGTTTTATAGCGTTCTTAAAAACCTTATTATAAAACGTTTACTCTTGGGGTTTTATAGCTTACTTCGTAAAACCCTTATAAATCCTAAGGCACCTAATAAACATTCTACAGCTACTACAAAACCTAAAGAATTTTATAAAACTTATAGGCTCAGTAGCAACTCCTTTCATGTGTAGAATAGGGGGCGCTATATTTTTAAGGTTAGGTTATGTTTTATGTTCCTGTTTTGCTTTTGCAAATCAAAGATGGAAGAAGAAAGAAAAAATTGGAAAAAATTAAATACAGTAGCAGTTTTTATAGAAAGTGCGTTAAAACCCGCGAAAATATTTTGGGAAGCACACCACCCACAACTACTAAAAATTACCAAAACTTAGACATTTCTCAAGAAGATATATTGCCAAATACTTCGACTGAATCGACTGCCACCGATGAAGGAAGGGGCAAAGGACCTTTACAAGAATGTATTGATATCGGGGAAATTTGGTCAAAGACGGTGTTGATTTTCCATCTTCTGTGGTTTGGACAATTTTGAAGTGCATTGAAGGGCTTTGTTTTAATTATTTTGATTAAAAAATGTTTTGCAAAAGCCAAAGCGCCCGAAACAAAAAGTGAGGTTATAGTCAATGGTCAAGTTTCTATAAATACCATTTTGGTAACTTATAAAACTATTAAGTACCACAAAAGCACCTAAGGTTTTATTGGAAGAGCAAAATTCCCATGACACCTAGGGAAGTGTTTTTAAAGTGTTGATGATTACTTAAAGGCCCATATAAAACTAGAGGTTTTTAAAAGGCGAAATGGCGAACATGACGTCCTTTTATAAGGCGGCCATTTTATGTTTGTGTTGTTGTACTTACACAAAAAAGAATAATATTGCATTTTAAGCAATATTACCGAAGCTTTAAGACGTATTTTTTCAAAAGCATGGGGTTAAGAAATGTTGCGCAGTCTATTTGCAAAAAAAACAAATCATGAGACGTAAATTTAATTTTTTGGTTTTTACAAAATAAATTATATTTGAGTTCTAAACGAGGGTGCTTTAGTTTTAAGAAGGGTAAAATGTTAATATTACTCGATAAATTTTCCGTGCCAATAAAATTTAGTCCTCATAGAATTCTTACAGAGTATTTAAGTTGTTATGATAATTATTATAACATGCCATTTTCATCAAAGTGAAAATCCATTGCTGTCAACTTTAAACTACAAGCAGAATAATAATGACAAGGACTTGAAATAGAATATATTGCAAACAAACGTTGTAGAAAGAGATGAACTTAAAAGGGGCGTTTTTTATTTTGGTGTTTATAAACACTATAAAAAAGGAATATAAAGGTTTTAAAACAGTAACGAAAATGTATTCCTTGCCGCTATAAAACTTATTTATGGTTTATAAAGGTAAAGGTAACCTCTTAGTTACCAATTAATGGAGAGTAAAGGTCACGTTCAAGGTTTTATAAGGTACTAAAATTTGGTCACCGTTACCTTTATAAGATTCTCCATTTAAGTGCTATAGGGATGTTATAAGGGTAACGAAAACGTTTCGCGAACAATTGATAGGCTCTTAGGTTTTATTAAGTAGGTTATCGAAACGTAAGCATTACCATTAAAAAACAAAAAATGTTAGTTGGGAGTACACATTGGTCGAATGTTTTCTTCTTTAGATAGAATAGCTTTCTAGATTTAAATACAATTGAGTTTCTTCCATAAGTGCTCCATGCTAACTGAATTGTTCTGTTAATATCTGGTGGTAGAGTTTTTCAAAATTTCAAAGGTAGTTGGTCAGTTGGTAGGTTGGTTGGTTCAAAACGTAGTTGTGTTCAAATTACTAAGCATTATATAAAATTATTAAAGAATAAATAAAAAGGTATATAAAATTTAATATTTTAGTGTTGTCGACATTTCAATTTATATACAACCGTTTTTGGACCACAACGAAATAAATTAAAATATAAAATCAAGACTTCAAATAGATTTATTTTAATAAAATGAAATGTATTTAAAAGATCCGGAAAAGGACTTAAAAGCTTTTGACACAAACGGCAATCGCAATTTATAAAATACGAAATCTATTTAAATACGTCCATTTTGCCCCGGTTCGAGGGAAAAACTATTTCTGATTAAATTTTCTATATTACCGAGTTAATACATAATCAATACGGAATTCGGATGGTAGAAACTGCTGCGATATGCAAACGAAGCGGCGGATAGAGCCGAATGAAAGAGGATATAGCAAATTCGAAATTATATTTTAGAAACTGCCATTAGACTTTCATTAATATTTGATATAAGCAAACTGAATATCAGATGAAGACACCGTTTCAAAAAAGTATTTACTTTAAAACGATGAAAATGACCTTTTAATTTACTTTTTAAATAAGATTCTTGCCTAGCATTAATTTAATTTTTATATTTACTCTTTAATTTTTACAATATACAGGGCGAGCCTTGAATAAGTGCAAATATTTTCAGGGCTGGTAGATCTCGATAAAAGAAACATATTTTCCCTTTGCCGTTCTATTTTGAAAATTTGCAAAAAAAAATATTTTTTCCTTAAATTTTGAGAACCACTGGATCTTTTCTGGGTTTTCTTTCTCGGAAATTTAATCTACTATACATGTTGCCATATTATCAAGAAATTATATTTTTTAACTAAAAATTTTAAAAAAATCCAAATTTAAAAAAAAATCACAAAAAAACTCCTAGACGTGTTTTTGGCGTCGAAATATACTACCTTTAAAAATATTTGCAGTTCTTTAAGATTGACCCTGTAATGCCATCGTTATAATAATTCTTCAAGAAGTTACACAACATTATTTGAAGGAAACCATCTGCATAATTTATTTGGATAGTGTTGACATCTCTAAGAGGAATTTTTAATCGTTATTCAGATTTGATTAACTAGTAATTTTTATTTTCATTTATAAAAAATATACATGTTTCAAAATAAAGTTTATTTCGTGTAAATTCTGTAATCTACCTTTGTTCTATAAAAATACCTGTTTGAAATAACGTTGTAGCTTTTTTTTTGAAACGTCAATCCCAAATGCATAATTTGGTTTGATATTAATGATATTTCTTATTAATTAATGATTATTTAAAAAACATCGATCGGCTGGTAGAAAGTGGTTAGCTTTGACATAAGTAAACTTATATCCTGATTTGGTGGGGCAAAATCAATATAGATGTCATTCATAAAGCTTGATTTCTGAGACATATTTGATGGCATGTACCGTTGGTCGTTATTTTCACTGTAAACTAATGTAGTTTTTTTTTAATTTTAGGCCTTTTTGAAAATAGCCCATATTTTTTTCATTTCGCGCATTCATAAAATTCTTAAGGCACTTTTTTAACTACAACCCAGGGGCTTAGTCATTTTTTTCTATACTTACGCTTTTTATCAGAAATTATAAATAAATAGAAATTAAAAACCCCTTCCTTTTAACGAAAAACTACGGGTAAAATTGTTTTTTGGTTTTAAACAATAAGAACACGTGCCGACTTTTTTATAAGAACACGTGCCGATTTATTTAGTTAGCATTCTTTAATCTATCTATATGATAAGCATGAATACCAACTTAAAATAACGTTGTGCTTTCTTGTTTCAGACGAAGCATCCTTGTACATAATTTATTTGGATATTATTCTAATTTATTATTATTTATAAATATGTATATGTCGCAGGGTTATCGAATAATTTGGCATTTTGCAAAAAAACTAGGCATATTATTAAATGCGGACATTTTAAACAAAAGGAAGAACTTTTACAAAGATCCGTTTCTATATCTTTATATATGTTTTCAGTCGCTCTGCAAAATGCCTAATCAGAATTAGGCTTATTAAACAATGATTATATTTGCTGTACATTGCATTTTTATTTGTATTTACATTGCATTTGTTTATGTATTTACAGTTTTGCTGTACATTGCAAAAAGACCGCTTGTTTTCAGTTGCTCTTCAAAAAACCTATTAAAGGCTAGTCAAATTGCTCAAAATATTTTAGGCGGGCTCGGTATAACTAATCTAAATTTATGCATGGGCATTTCTTGAACTTCTTTTTCAAAATTAGGAAATCCTGGTACAAAGTAGTGAGGATTCTGTTAATAAGAGTGTGGCAAAGTCAGCAATGTTCTATAAAGAAGCTGCCCTGGATACAGAATAGAATTACAGGGATAACAATTAAATAAGTATTAATATTAAGTAGATATTTCATGTATTTTGTATTTAAAATTTTGTTACGTATCACATTAACACCTTTTCCATGGCATTGAACTAAATAAATTTTGTGCTTCTTCAAAAAATATGACGTTAATTTAAAATTCTGCCAATAATAATCTATCAAAGAAAGAAAAAGAAATGATATTAGATTTAGGAAAAAATTCAACTACATTTTCATGTTTTTTTTAATATTCTCTAAAACGGTATGGAAATTTGGAAAAGTATATAGGGATTAACCATTTCAGAAGAAGCAATCATTTTTATTAGGAATGTATTTTTCTCAAAATGTCAGTAATAAAAATGTTTTTCCTCTTGTAAAGACAATACGGGGACATACTGTATATTATGTATATGTACATATATGTTTAAAATTTAAGATTATTCCGTTTAAATTCTTTAATCTATCTGCATAATTTATTTGGACATGAATATCATTTTTTTATTTTTATTTATAAAATAATATACACGATTAAAAACTATATTTCGTTTACATTCTTTACTCAACCCTTATTCCATAAACATACCTGCTCGAAATAACGTTGTGGCCTCTTGTTTCAGACGGGGAACCCATCAAGCTGCCAGAAAACCTGGAGAGCCTGCCCCGCGCCGACCACTTTCCCACCCAGAGGCATCGCTGGAATACGAACGAGGTACGTAGACGTCAACCTAATGCACCGTGTGCTTTCTTGCCTCCGTTGCCTCCGTCTGACTTGGCTCGAATTGTCTGCCGCTCCTTCCTCCGAATAACAATTTTCTATCGAGGCTTTGCGATTATTGTGCTTCGGGGAATGTCGATAAATATTAATTTTGTCGGGAGATTGTTTTTATTGCGGAATAATCGGAAATTGGTCATGTTTAAAGTTGCTTAACAAGTACATTTCATGACTAAAAATATCTATATTATCCTTGTAGTGTAGTATCCTTTGTGGCAGGTTTATTTCTCGAAAAAAATCTGTTTTTCGATGGAAGAATATCTACAAAATAAAAAAGTGTTTTTTTTGTCACATATTATCAAGATTTTGACCTGTTTGATGTAAGGAATGAATATATGTGCTGAATTATAGGATATAAACTCATATTCATGGGCATCATCTTAGGAATAGAACTGTTATCTGAATATTGATTATAAAAATACAAGCATCTAGCCACCACCGGTAACTGACTATCCAGTCGACACGAAGTTGCAAGAATGAGTTTTAATTGCTTTTATTTAATTTTTTTAATTGATTCTTTATTTTTTAATTTTGTCTGTTTTGTATGTCTCAGAATAGTCGCTAGACGAAGTTCTTTAATTTCTACAATGACCAATTATATTATCAAAATATTAAGGTACTTCTAGAAGTCTCACAAACTTCAAATTTTGAATTTTATTTAACGTTTAGTCTATAAAGTACGGAAAAGAACAAATCTCCACATTTTATTGTTCAATAAATGAAGAATAATAATTACGATAGCCGCCATTTTTAACTGACTATCCAATCGACACGTTTACGGCTCTTGTTTAAGAATCTCGATTGCTCTTATTAGTTTGATGATTGAAAGACTTATTTATTTGTCTATTGATTTATATATGACCCGACCAGCAAAGCCACAAAGGATTTCATGATATGCAGAAGACTGGCGGGAAATAAGTGGAGAAATAACATTTTGCGCTGGATGTATATCATGATAGTAAGACCCATGATTACTTATGGAGCAGTTGTTTGGTATACAAAACTAGAGCAAGGTACAGCAAGGCAAAACCTGTGCAAAGTACAAAGACTGGCATGTATTTGCATCACAGGTGCCATGAGAACATGTCCAATAGCAGCAATGGAGGTCGTTCTAGACCTAACACCACTGCATATTGTCGTCGGTAGTTATGCCAATGCGACAATGATTAAAATGGTCATTGACGGAAATAGTACTGAGAGAATTTTCAGGTCGGGCACTTGGAACATCCTCAAAAAGAAAATTCCACTTCTCCAACTCCCAGTGGATGACATACCAAGAATTTACAACTTTGAGAAACACCTCAACTCCTTTGTATTACTTAACACTGTAGTATTGAGTAATACAAAGGATTGGATGAAAGAAACGCTTAGTCAGCATATAAAAGACCGCATCAGTATACCATCACGTGGTATACTGATGCTTCCAAAACCAAAGCAGGGACAGGGATAGGAGTATTTGGGCCGAAAACTAAATACTCCGAACCAATGGGCACCTACCCCAGTATCCTTCAGGCAGAAATTTACGCTATCGAAAGATGCGTACAATTTATCTTAGATAGGAACTATTGAAAACAGGAAATTGCCATCCTATCCGATAGTCAAGCAGCACTTAACGCGATCAACTCAGTAACCATCAATTCGAAGTTGGTCAAAGAATGCCTAGAGAAGCTCAACAAATTAGGCAAAGAAAATAAAGGCTTCCTACTCTGGGTGCCTGCTCACCAAGGGAGAAGGCAATGAAAAAGCAAATGATCTAGCTAGAAAAGGAGCGAACATTCCACTAACTGGATCAGCACCGTTCTGTTTTCCAAACGGGAACCAACTGAAAGCGGAACTGAAGAATCTGGAAGACTCCATCCGTAACTTGGAATGGGTGTCCTCCAACGGTCTAAGACACTCGAAAAAGTTCCTCGGAACTTACGACCGAGAAAAATCAAAGGTTTTCCTTGATTTAAGTAAAAACAATCTTCGGATTATCACGGGGTTTCTAACAGGACACTGTCTCCTCAACGAACACCTCAGTAGGCTGAAACTGAGAAACAACGGCGAATGCAGATTTTGTGGGGAAAATGGGGAACACCAGAACACCTTATCACTGAGTGCGCCGAGACGACAACGTTCGTGCCATGAACCTTGGTACATCTGATGTCGAGGATGGAGAGCTGGCCTCTGTGGAGCCGTCTCAGCTACTGGCTTTTGTTAAAGCCCTGAGACTGTATGATGAGTTATAACTCGTTATAACTTAAGAAAGGGGAACACATAATAGATCATAAAAGGTCGCGGTGATTAACTCCCCTCCTAAACATTCTACATTCTACATATATGACCCGAGAGAGAAAAGAAGGATAACCTTCCAAAAAAATGAGTTTCCGTTAAAAACTGGCGACTAATGATAGTCCTGCCACTAATTTTTCATTAAGACCGAGTCAGTTATTTTAGTTACTTACTTACCGAGTCACTATTTATCCTCACCTAAACCGCTCTCATTGGAAAAATTCCGAAAAGTGTTTAAAGCGTCCATTTTCAAAGTAATTATTGCTGTCTTGTGAGTTTAATTTAAGTTTTATTTATTCACACCCGAGATAATTGTGAAAAAGTGGCATTAAAAACTTAAAAAGCTGTGATGTGAACTGTGAACTACAAAAACCATCGCGGATCGTGGCATAACGTCGGTTTCCAGCGTTTCATAGGTATTTCATATATGTCCTTATATAAAATAAAGTTTCTTGTATGCAACACACTGTATTTTATTTATCAAATTAAATGAAAATAATCATAAATTTGAATAAACAATATTTGGTAATATAATTCCGGAAAAAACCGAACCGCTCCGAAATTTTCAAATGCTTTGGGTCGCGACCGTTGCAAGAATAGCGCCAAATAGTGTTTACATTGCCCTTATGGGCACTTTCCAATCTACACTTGTTTCATTTATCTATTTAAACAACTAAGTGACAGTTTTGAATTTCTCATTCGCTTTTTCAAATTTATATAACATAGAAAGCCAGAATGTTGTCGGAAAGTTCTGATAATGAGATTACTTTAATATTGGTTCTGTACCAGAACTTACAGAAGCTGCAAAAGGAGCAAAAGGGGGCGATATGAAATAGCATGCCGAAAGAAATTTTAAGAATATTGCTTCGGAGATAGTCTTAATGGCATATTTTAGCGACAGGGCAAGGCAGAAAAAGCATCTACTCTTTGGGCTACATACAGCATGCTACGGACAATGCTAGAATTAAGGGAAAGACTGGCATATCAAAATATTACAAACTCGTCGCTTTTTTAAAACGCCAGAATGTAGGTTTTAAGCCAAAGAAGTCTAGCATTTTTACCAAGCAAAAAGAAATGTATAAAAATCTTCAAATATTATTGTTAATCTTCTTGTTTATTTTTGTTGATGTTAGATAAGTATTTAAAAAAGATATTACAAGAGTATTTTGGTTAATTAAATGAGGCGAGAAATAAGAAAAACCGAGTGAGGGAAATGGGTGAGGGAAGGAAGTGAGGGAAGAAATGTAGATAATTTGACACTTTCAAATTTTTTAAAAGTTAGTAATGTCAGTATTACATATGTGGTTGTAAATAAAGTAATTTTATTGAAGAATATTTATAACAAAACTGAAAAGCACATCTCAAGAAAGTCTAATAAAAAATACAGTCTCCAAGATACCGATTAGTATCCGTTAAAACTATTTCCAACCGGCACCAGCGAAATGAAATTGCAACCGGCGGCACCGAGCGCCATTAAACGAAAAGTCAGAAATAGTAACGCGCCACACGAATTATAAAGAAAAATGAATGAAACAGTATGGAGCGGGACTCATTAAGGGCGGGCTCATTTCGGGGGAAATGTTATCTGTTAAACAGTTTAATATGTAACGGAACGGGGCACCGTAATGGAATAAATTGCGAGACATTACCCTTAAATGGCCGCAACTGTACAATTTCAAGCGTTTCTTTGGACCCGGCGCGCTCTATTTTACTGTTATAACATCGTTCCGTATTGCCGTTTAGCGCTCGTGAAACTTGTCCCACGTGTTCCCTAAAACGGCCGTTACTTAGTCGCGAGCGTCGCATGATTTTTTCGAATTCAACCGACCGGAACCACGGTCTTTAATTGGAATTTATTTGGCGGCGGTGAGTCGTTTAACAAACCCCCTTTATTAGGGAAAGGGAAGAGAAGGAGGGGGGAATGAGAAAACAGTTCGGTTTCCTTTAATTATCTTTGTTTATAACTAGCTATTAATAATTTATTCATTTCTATTTTTCTAATTTTTAACTATAATAAATCATTCATAATATGGTTACGAATAGGGGCAGGTAACTAAAATAGGCCAATCAGAGAGCTCTTCATTTCAGGCGCCGATAGCCAGGCGTGTTTAGCTATGGTTACGAATTACCGGGTGTTTTTCAAAAATGGCTCACCCCTATAGCTTTTCTATTTTTTTCAAACAAACATAAATTAGGATTGACTGTCGTATTCAATTCATTTCGGTCACTTCCTGTTTCACCGGAAATTACTACAACTTTTAATTAACAATTTTAAGTGGTACCCTCGATATTTTTTTACTTTAATCGATAAAAAATTGCATTCTGGATAGAATGACATCTCATATATTAACTTTTCACAATTTTGCTTCAAAAATAGTATTTTAAATTTCAATCTAGAGTGTCATGGCTGTGTTCATAACGAAAATTTGACTCGAAATACGAGCCCTAACAACTATATGTTGTAACAACTATAATATAATATAAGAAATTTGTTTAATACGGAGTTACATCACCTTTCGCCTTAACAACTGCCTGAACTCTTAATGGCATTGTATTTACCAAAGATTGGCACATTTGAGAAGAAAAATTATCCCAAATTTCCTGCAGTTTTGTCCGCAAATCAAAAATTGTCCGTTGAGGGTGGTTTCTCAAATATTGCTTCA